TATTGCAGGAGTTGGCCTTCTACCCTCCTGCTTAATAACTATGTGAAGCCATTAGAAAAAGTAAAATGATCACATGACCTGGTATTATCATTGATTTGCAGATAGCCAGTTAAATACGCAAAAGCAAAAAGGAGATGTGCTGGAGGCTGTTAGGGTCTGGATGGGTAAGAACAGATTCAAGCTGAATCCTAGCAAAGTTCAATGGATGTAGATCCAAAGGTCAACTGAATCTTTAGTTCTGGATACTCCCTCCAAAGCTGGCATGCAAACTAGAGGTCATCCTGGACTAATGGCTCTTGCTTGAAGAGCAGATGAAGGCTTTGGTATGGAATCTTTGCACAATTACTTAATATCTTGTGCATCAATTTCAGCCATTCCTAGATCAGGAGACATTATGTAGAGTCATTCAAATATTTCTTTCCTCAGAGCTGGATTACAGCACGTTGCCTAACTGGGACTGTTCTTGAAGACCATCCAAAAGCTGTAGCTGGTGTGCAGTATATAGCAATCCATGTACTATGAGCATTCTTGGGCTTGTCTGTGCAACTGGGTCAGCTTCTGAGGCAAGTCAAGATGCTAAGTTTAAAGCCCCTTTAAGTTCCAAACCTAGATAGCTTCCCAACTGAATCTGTCTACATCTGTCTGAGAGAAAAACCTTAAGGATCCACCACGGAGGGAAGTGCCATTTACATGCCTTCTCAATCTAGCCTTCTCAATAATGACTTCTTTTCTGTTGAACAGCTATTCCCCAGATCTCTGCACCGACCCCTCCCTGTTGGAGTTCCAAGTAACTGCAGAAAGATGGCTGCTCCAAAATGTATTTGGGAATACTGTTGATTAACCTAACTCTATTAGTGGATGTTGTTGCTACGTGATGATATATGTTAATACTCATTACTGCAGAAAGAAAGAAAGAAAGAAAGAAAGAAAGAAAGAAAGAAAGAAAGAAAGAAAGAAAGAAAGAAAGAAAGAAAGAAAGAAAGAAAGAAAGAAAGAAAGAAAGAAAGATCCTTACCAGGAATTCACCAGCATAACTCTTATTAATAGATTAATAATATTTTTGAATTTATATTTAATTACAAAATCACCCATTTACGCTTAGCTTTGGGCAGCTTATAGCAAGTTAAAAACAAACAATATAGTCAATTAAAAGACTATAATGTTGTTGCCAAACATAATAATTAAACCATCTGAGTGGTATTTATTTATCTCCCAGCTTTATTAGTTTTTACAAATAACGCAGGGCAGTGAACTTATCAACATACCTTCCTCCTATTTCACATAACATCTCCACCCAGTGCCTGTAGGAGAGCTAGGTCTCTAAAGTACTCTTGAAAGGCAGCAGAGTTGAGACCATACAGATCTTGGGGAATGGAATTCCTGAGATCAGGTGTAGTCACAGAGAAATTTAGTAACAAATTATATGGCGGCAGCAATTCTTTTTACTTTATAACAGAACAATATCAATCCAATTGGTGAAAGAAATGAAGATTTACTAGCTTGCTTATTAGATTTGTATCTCCTCTTTCATTCAGGAATCAAATCAGTAAGCATACTGTTCTCTCCTCTTATTGTTTCTCACAACAATAATCTTGAGAGAGAGTGACTGCCTCAAGGTCACTCGGGGATTTATCAAGAGTGAAAGTGAAGCAAAACTACGCTTTTCCATTCCTATTCTAATACATTAACTACAGTATTGCCTCACACTGGCTCTCTGGTTTTTATAGATAAAGACGCTACAGAGTATTTCTCCAAGTGCTTTTCTTTAACAGCTGACATCATAGGATAACTAGGGAGAAAGAGTTGTCATTATTTGTATGCTTATTATACTAAAAAAGAGACATGGCCCACAACCCTCTTTATATAGGATGAAATATATGATTGCACAAAATAAAGAGCTGGTGTGATCACTGGGAACAAACCCCATAGTTATGTACATGATCAACTCTGTATTTTGTAATAACAAACTTCAATTATATTCTTAAACTATGTGTTTATTATGTGTTTTTCCTTGTATCTTTAATGGCAACTCATAGGCCAGCCAATAGAAATCTTTAAAAAAAAATACAATGCAACTATTGAAGAAAATTTGACTTCTTACAATATTTCAGTAATGTATTATTAATTTTAGATCTTAGAACTCTTTGCTCCCAAGATTTTGCAAGATCTTTAGCTTGAACCTTATGAGATACCACATGAGAATGCTGGATTTTTTTTTTAATTTCTGGTCATAAAAAAAGACTGTTTACTTTTGGGTCTCCATTGCTTACCCCTGATGTAGCCTTGCTTTATTTCCTTTAAAATGTAGTTGTAAGAAACATTTTTAAAGCTCATCTTGAGTTATATTTGATAGAACAGGAACAACCACACAAAGGCTATTCAGTAACAAAATTTAGAATATATATGTACTGTCCTGATATTAAAGCTTAGAAAAATATCACTTATAAATCATTATTAACATATCCAGCAATATATCAATGGAATAGAGTTAGCTTAAAAAAAATCTTGGATATCTAAAATAACAACTTACATCTATGAATGACAATTGAACATCTACCAAGCTATTTTTCATATGATATTTATGATTGATTTCTTTCAACAACGAAGGCAACAGATTCCATAAAAAATCATTTCAAAGTTACATATAGAAAAAAAGGCAGATTTAGCTAAAAGCATTTTCATAGAAAACATTATGGAAAAAAAAATCAAGCAACAATTTTATTGTAATTCAATGCATGCTTAAAACCATGTTCATTCATCTTGTTATCTAACACCCCATTATTAAAGATATATTGAAAATAAATAGATCTCATATTATCAGCTTGGAGTAAGCAAGCTATAGCTCAGTTCATGCATCACTCTAAGTCAAATACAATTTGCCAGGTTTGTTTAGCAAATTGTATTAACCCATTCAAGTGCAATGTATGTATGTATGGATGGATGGATAGAAAGATATAGAGATATACACAGTAGATTAGCATGATATTTGAACCAGGTCTTAATGCTGTCAGCAACATTTCTGATGGTTATTTATACTTCAGTCATATTTGTTAAACTATTAACATATTCATTGGATGTTTCACAGTAACAGTTTCATAGTAACGGGCTTATTTTTCTGTTTCTTAGAAAACAGTATTTAAGATTTCTTACACAAAATCCTATTACTGTGGAATTCAACTGAATCACTTAAGAGTCAAAAAGAGGAACAAGGAAGTCAAAACTGCAGATAAGATTAAAAAAAATGACAACAATCTTAAGTCAATTCCAAGTGTTAATAAATTTAATGCTAGCACTTAGGGAGTTAACTAATTCTTCATCTCCTGGGCATTAAGGAAACCAAAGCTTTCTGAGGAAGTAATATTGAGAAAATAAAAGACTTGCATAGAGTGAGCTTTAAACAGGAATTATATGACCATTTCAGATTAAACTATAAATGATTTTCTTATTTAAAACAAACCTACACTCAACTATTTTTAGAAGTTTGTTGACCATGTGAAAGTCCAGTATATGGTAGTTTGGCTATCACCTGCCTCAAAGCTATTCAAAAGTAATGATTAGATTACATACAATCAAGAGGCTACCCTGTAGCCATAACCATTTAGCACATAAGCCATTCTTCATAATAATCCAATTTTATACACACCTACCCAGAAGCAAGTCTAAGTTAAACAGCACTTCCACATAAACAGGCACAAAACTGTAACTTACATCACCAACACATTTATACACAGATGGAGGACTTTCTCTACAGGACAATGGGGCAGAGTTCACATGCCAAACTCAATTTCTTCACATGCCAAACTCACAGCATCTTTTACTCACAGCATCACGCAAGAAACTGAGCAAAAAAAAATAAAATCGCATTATAGCTGGATTGATTCAGAGGCAACCACAGAATCCGAGCTTCTGCCCTTCTGCCATTTGATTCCCTCCAGCCCGGGTCACACAATATGCTAGAATACACTACTGGATTTCCACAACATGTGGAACTGAACTACAAACTATTCAATCTCATTTTAGCCCAAGCTGGCATGCCCTCGGATCCCTTCAGGGTTGCATCCATTGAAATCCATACTCGAGGAAGGAGACGAGGAAAACAATATCGCGGGCCTTTCTCCCAATTCCTTCTTAACCGCAACCCCGCAGGTGAACTCCAGATGATTCCCGAGACGTGGGGAGGAAAAATGCCACTCGCGGGAGGAAAGAGGGGACGAATCTCTCCCACATTCAGCACGGAAGAGCTGCCACCGGATGCCCTTCGCTTTCAAGGGCCGTTCCGAGTCCAAACCCACCCCGGCCCCGTGGCAAAAACTCCCGCTCTTCTCTCCGAGCGGCCCTGTCCAACACCTTGAGGGCAGCCCGGCGGCAGCCACGCTCCCTCCGCGCTCTCTCAACGTGATCTTGCAGCCCAGCGCTCAGGCGGGGGACAAGGCGAAGCGGGGGTGGGGGGCGAAGGAAGGGATAGGCGGCCAACTGCGTAACTTGCTCGAGAAAGAGCACCATCCCCGCCTGCACCAACGGGCATTCCCGCCCTTGCTGAAGCCGGGACTCGGTGTCTCCAAAACCTGAAGGGGAGAGGGGGGAAAGGCAGAGGGAGACGGGGAAGGAGGAGGGAGCGAAAGGCGCCTCTCCTGTCAGCTCCTCCAACCTCCTGGTCCCGACGCACCTGTGGCGGCGGCGGCTACAAAGACTGGACTCCCTCGGCTTCCTCAGCTCAGAGACGCCCCGCGGCCTGGCTGACCCGCCAACACCGTGCTCGTAAGCCTCCCGGCCCCTCAAAGGGAGCCTGAGCCGCCGCTGCTCCTGCTGCTTAGGAGGGAGGAAGCGGCCACCATGTTCCTTTCAGCCAGCAACTGGAGGCGGATCCGGGGCCCGCCCAGGAGGCGGCGGCGACGGCACCGGGGGAAAGAGACGAGATGCCCCGCCGCCGAAAAGGGTTTCTCTAGGAGGCGCTAAGCAGCGCGGAGAGGCCTTACGTTGGGGCTGGCGTGGCCTCGGGACTCGACCCAGGCCGAGGCGGAAGCCTTTCTTTTCAGCTGCCTGGGGATAATTGCGGTTTTCGAGGTTTAGTGGCTCCCTTACAATCTTACAATCCGTTTACGGGAGGGGAGGAGGAACTGAATTCGGTGGCTTCCGAGTAAGTTAAACGGAATTTTTTTACCCTCCTCTCCTCGAGTAATCCTCGACTTAAGACCACAATTGAGCCCAAAATTTCTGTTAAGTGAGACGATTATTGAGAGAGTTTTGTCCTGTTTCCTTGCCACAGTGAATCCCTGCAGTTAGTAAGTTACTAACATGGTTGTTAAAAGTGAACCTGACTTCCCCATTGGTTTTGCTTGTCCAAAGGTGGAAAAAAGTGATCACATGACCTTGGGACACAGCAACGGTCATAAGTATGAACCAGTTTGCCAAGCATCTGAATTTTGATCACATGATCATGGGGACGCTGCAAAGGTCGTAAGTGCAAAATGGCCAAAAGTCGCTTTTTTAAGTGCCTTTGTAATGGTCACTAAATGAACTGTTGTAAGTCGAGGACTACCTGTACTCACAACTGTTTCTTAAAGCTTGGTTCTATGACCCCAGGTAGTCCTCCAAAACCCCCTCAGATCCCCAAAATCAAAATTAATTTGACAGACTATTTTGAAAAATAATAAGCCATATTAAAATCCTTTCAAATAATCTTGAACAGTAGTAGCGAATATGTGAATTTTAATTTATAATAAAGTAAATATTGAAAATATAGCCGATATAAACAAAAGCTTTTCTGGGGTCCTCAGTTACTTTTTAAAATGGGAAGGAACCTTGATAGAAAATAGTTCAAGAATTACTCAGAATGATACTATTATTCCAAAATAATTCCAAATACTTTGTTTCATTGCTTGGGGTCTCTTTCCACAGGCTTTTTCTTTAGTGGAAACAAGTTTTAAGAATGCAGTATGGATCATCGTAATGCAAGCTGTACATCATTCCAATTGAAAAGGTCTGAAATTTATTAATAAATTCATTGCCAAAACATCATCATCTCCTCAACAGCTCAGGAGAACATTCTGGTGACTGTAAATTATTAACAGTGAAAACAGTTCAAAATACTAGTCAGGCAGTCAGAACAACAAAATCATAGGATCGACTTGCCTTTATAGAATTAAACCTTAAATTTCACGGTCTGTTATAGAATGCCCTCTTGTCTGAACATACCCTTTGTTGGGAAGACTATTTGGCCCAAACAAAGTAAAATAAGGATCTAAATGCCAACATCATAAAATTAGCACTTGAACAGCAAATTGAATGATATGTGTACTTCAGCAGGTCATAGTTCTCCTTTTATAATAAAAGTGTGTTTAAATTATTTCAAATTTTGATTAAGTCTTTTAAATTAATATAAACAGATTTGTATGTAAGCTTATGGTCTATTTTTCCCTTTCTTTTGTTGTTTACTGGTGTTTGCCATTCTGAAACTCTTTTAATAAATAGAATTGTGGGAAAGAAATTGCATAGACACCACTTCTGAAGAATCTGACCCAATTAAGGCCACACAACAGGCGAGAGCTATGCCAGCAAACAGCAACATCTCCAATTAACACACATTCTGATATTGGACAGCCAAATCTGGGGCCTAGGATATTTCAGCAATTATTCCAGGCAGTCAATAGTATAAACAATGGGGGAAACCTAAATGATGTGGATTTAAGCAACCATAAATTTCATTCTCTCATTATCAGGATAAATGGAAGACAAACAAGCAAAGGCAAGCAAAGGCATTTTATATATAATGCATACTTAATCATATCAAGGCCCCACATCTCATAATTCAGCCAAAGACTTTAGTAACAATAAAGTATGTTAAGATTCTTCCTTGCTACTGGATTTTTAGCTCTGCTTATAATCCATATAATGATAAACTGGGTTTTATGATGAAACCAGTGTAATTGCTAATGCATTGTAAGTCAGATGTCTTGTGACTTCTATGGAACACAGTGACTGAGACCAAATAAATGAGGAAAACATTGTGAAATATTTTGTGAAAACATGACTGGACTTGAAATTGTGACTATGTATTCTTATACTAGTAACAAAAAAAATCTAACTCAGCAAATCATCTGTGACAACCCAATGAATGCCATAGCTTTATATATCTTTGCTCCTGGTATTCAGCTGAAATGCTTTTTATTGCACACATTCTATTATTTATATTGTTTCTGAATAGCTTCTAAGATTGGGCAGGATAATGTGCAGTGTTTCACATCAACAAACTGACCTCAAGAATAACAGCTTTGCCCCCAAGCCTGCAGACTTTTGGAAAAACCTTTAAAAACTGAATTTTTCAACAGGCCCGGAGCCAGGATGAATCTACATGAATGTTTGCTATTTTAATTTTTGTATTCCCTAGTCACATATTAAATTTGTTTCAACATTTAAACTTTATAGCAATAAACTATTATGCAAAGGTCTTGAATGCTGAAAAGTGGATGTAAAAATAATCAGAATTTATTACATGAGTATTGTTACTTAAAATTGGAAAAGTTATTATAGATAGTAAGAACTTGTCTTTATATATCTTGGGATGCTAGACAGCTTTATCATTAAAAAAGAAGCCAGATTTTTAATAAACTAAAACTGGCTACGAAATTAATTTAATGTCATTTATAATTAGTTTGCAAGTCAAAAAATGCTAAGAAATAAGATTTAGATAGTATACTAATGTCATCCTAATACCAAAGTAAGAATCTTGAGCTTTGACATCCTTTTATTTTTACTAAACAATGTTTTACAATAATTGTTTTCTCTTGATTGTATCAGATTTTTCTGTTGTATGTTCATGTAATCTTGGATACAGCACAATTGAATTTAAAATGTAACACAATTTGGTGTTACTGTATTAAGAATAAGTAAAATGTTTGAAATTTTTAAATTTATTTTGGAAAGAAAGTTCAACTGGAATTTTCCAGAGTATGGAATCAATACATCATATTTAATCTATTGACAAATATACCAATAATCATAAAGGAAGCATGGCTACAACCTCTCAGTCTAGATCATAAGATAGTTTTCTAAACATTTTCAGTTTAATGACTTGTAGAAACTGGATTTACAAAACTTTGTTCTTGAGCTTTCCATTTTGGATACTTTTATTGAAAACAAACAGTAATCTTATGCCTAGATACCTGTTTATTAAAAACATGCTGTTTATAATGAAATCTCCAGTCAGACTGATTTTACAAGAAAGTTCATTGTAGAAATTCAAATGAGTTCTTATCGGTTGAAATAAAGATAAATACTGAACTACAAGGCCTAGCTGTTCTCCCTTTTAGCAAGTCCCTTTCTGAAGCCAACAGTTCAGGAAAAAAAAAAACTCATCAGTTTTGTAATGAGATGATAAACATTAAGCTGTAATGATATTCTTGGTAATGTACCGGTAGTTAGGGTTAGTAATGGCTAAAGTCCATGGCCTTGCAATTCAAGCAGATTCATCTTGTCATTCATAAAGTGTTGCATAGGTGTTGCAGTGATACGGATGTAAATTTTAATGTTCTGGCTAGGGGGCATTCCAACAGCAAAGCACAGAAACTATTTTTTTTACAGTAATACTTTGATATACATTCTTTCATTTCATTAAATATTCACTATATTTAGTTTTGAACAAAAAGAGAAATAACTATAGTGTTTCTAAGATTAACATTTAAAATTGTAATAGTGATAGAATGCCTGCTTTTTTTCTCTATTTACATTTAATATTCTAAGGCACCTACATAATAGAATATTAAGAATTAAGTATAGGATATAAATATTGTATTGAAATAACACACTGTGCTAAAACTGAGAAGATGGAGGAATAACTTTAATATGTTATAAGGTTAAGCTACTCTCTTTATGGATACAGTTTTAATTTCTATTAAATGGAATTCTATTAAATTCCAAATGTCATTCGTTTATTCATTATATTTGGCTACAACGCCAAAGCTCAGAATGTTACAACACAGCCAACCACCCAGGATGGTGCAACACAGAACTCAGGATATCACTACACTAGATCTCAGGATGTCATCACACAACCCATTACCCAGGTCGTTACAACACAAAAGACACACAGCCAGCACCTCAACTACTCAGGATGTTACAAAACAGCCAAACAATCCACAAACAATAGCTCCTACACAGCCAACCAATCCACCTACAGCAACTAAGCCGGCACTCCACACACCCCCACCAATATATATAGAGAGACGGCAGCTCCGATCACACTTTGCTCGCACAAGCACAAAGCCGAAGACCCCAACCTGAAGATGACGAGTGGGACCTCGTCGAAACGTTGCCAGGATGCTCTCAATCTTACACGGGAAAAGACTCGAATACACCAAGACCTGCATACCTATACCCGTGAAAATCTACGAAAACAAATATCTCTATGGGGAGGAAAACTTCCTGCCCACCAGGACCTACGAAAAACTCAAAGTCCAAAGAGCCACCATCTTATGTGACCTCACATTCCTAAACAACTGCCAAGACAAAAATGTGATCCCCACTTGCTTCCAACTAAAATTCCATTCCAAAACCTCAGCCACCGAAAGGATCCTGAAAAGAACTGAATTAGCTCTAATCAGAAACGAACTCCGCAAGAAAAGATACCTACTAGACCAAACCAATAGAGACTTACTCACTCTTTACCTCAAACTCAATAACAAAACCCACGCAGCACTCTGGGACAAATCCAAACAACTAGCCCTCTGGAGAACCGAAACAGAAGCCTCCCACAAGACAGACACACACACCAACAAACTCCACAGACTAGAAAAACGGCAAAAGCCCAACCCCCCCCCTCCACAGCAACTCATGAAACGAACAGTACACAACATATCAGACAGGATGCTCACCATAGCAGAAACCAATGTCCTTTCCAAAAGAGTCGCCCCCAAACGCATCCCCACTGAAAACATCATACGCGGAGTTGAAGCTACCCTAACCAAAATCAACCCAGATGAAGCCGACAAAATCAGACTTGAAGTCACCTCTCCAGCAATCCACGTAGAAGCAACTTACATAAAGAACAAAAAGCACTCAACAACCTGAGGAAAGACAACAACATAATCATTCTCCCAGCAGACAAAGGCAACACCACGGTAGTGATGAACACATTAGACTACCAAGCCAAACTATCCAACCTACTCCAAGACCCCGTTTACAAACCTCTAAACACAGACCCTACCACCTGCCTGGAAAAAAACATCAAATCCAAAATAAAAGTCTCTCCTATCAGTGAAGAGATCCAGCAAAGAATCATACCAAGAGAGAAATCATCCAGATGCCCCAAGTTCTATGGCCTCCCCAAGATTTACAAAGAAGGAACACCACTCAGACCCATAGTCAGCTCCATAGGCTCACCTCTACAGAATCTTGCCAAATTTCTCGCCAAACAACTTCAGCCGTACACAGAATCCATCTCCTCACATGTACAAAATTCACTCCACTTCATAGAAGCAATAAAGAAACAAAACCTACAACCCAGCGACCTACTCGTGAGCTTCGATGTCACATCCCTCTTCACCCAAGCGCCTATCAAAGAAGCCTTGACAGCCATCCAAAACAAATACAACTCCCCTAAGCACATCCTAGATCTGACTAACCACTGCCTAACCAACACATACTTGATCCACAATGGACAAAGATACAAACAGATAGAAGGAGCACCTATGGGATCATCCCTCTCACCCTTCATTGCAAATCCATACATGGAACACTTCAAAACCAACGCCTTAGACAAATCTGAACACAAACACAAACTCTGGCTCAGATATGTAGATGACACTTTTGTAATTTGGCCACACGGGAAAGAAAAACTGGACAACTTCCTCACACATCTCAACAGCCTGCACCCCAAAATACAATTCACGATGGAAATAGAAGCTAACAATCAACTCCCCTCTCTGGACGTCCTAATCTACAAAAAACCCATGGCTCCCTAGGACACACCATCTACCAGAAAAA